TACAAATCTTACCTCTGTAGGGCTGTCACTAGACCTCGGGTACGTAATATCTCCTATACAAATCTTACCTCTGTAGGGCTGTCACTAGACCTCGGGTATGTAATATCTCCTATACAAATCTTACCTCTGTAGGGCTGTCACTAGACCTTGGGTATGTAATATCTATACAAATCTCAATTCTGAAGGGCTGTCACTAGACATCAGACCATGCAGTAATACCTGTATAATATAGATATCCCCTTACATGTCAATATATCAAGTCCCTTTGGTGAGCTGTTATGTTTGGAAAATCATTTTATTTACATTATTAAAGCATGCCATTTGATTATGAAGACTGTACTTTGAATAGAAATTCTCTGGTTTGAAGTCAAAATAGAATTGATTGAAAGGCTGATCAAACAACTGATTGATTTGAGTTTTTACGTCTTGACAAAAATAAAGGTCATACGATGTCAATGTCCATACACATCAAGGCCACTATCTGACTGTATTGTCATAACCTGGACACGATAGCATGATATCCCACTTGTAAAGTGTTATTATGTACAGCTGATGAGAGTGAGACGGATCATTGGGTGAAGCTGTGTATGATTGTACTTATAGAAATCTGTCCTTTATGTTGCTGACGTTTAAGTATGTAAAGTTTGGATTAAGGAGCTTGCTGTGGTCCCTGGAACCTATAACGATACCCCTGTCATTAACATTGGTGTGATTATACATGTAGACATGCATGGTCAAATATTGACCGTTCACAATGATTGCTAGATTAAAGGGTTCAGGTGTACATGTAGACATGGTCAAACATTGACCGTTCACAATGATTGCTAGATTAAAGGGTTCAGGTGTAGACATGGTCAATCATTGACCGTTCACAATGATTGCTAGATTAAAGGGTTCAGGTGTAGACATGGTCAATCATTGACCGTTCACAATGATTGCTAGATTAAAGGGTTCAGGTGTAGACATGGTCAATCATTGACCGTTCACAATGATTGCTAGATTAAAGGGTTCAGGTGTAGACATGGTCAATCATTGACCGTTCACAATGATTGCTAGATTAAAGGGTTCAGGTGTAGACATGGTCAATCATTGACCGTTCACAATGATTGCTAGATTAAAGGGTTCAGGTGTAGACATGGTCAATCATTGACCGTTCACAATGATTGCTAGATTAAAGGGTTCAGGTGTAGACATGGTCAATCATTGACCGTTCACAATGATTGCTAGATTAAAGGGTTCAGGTGTAGACATGGTCAATCATTGACCGTTCACAATGATTGCTAGATTAAAGGGTTCAGGTGTAGACATGGTCAATCATTGACCGTTCACAATGATTGCTAGATTAAAGGGTTCAGGTGTAGACATGGTCAATCATTGACCGTTCACAATGATTGCTAGATTAAAGGGTTCAGGTGTAGACATGGTCAATCATTGACCGTTCACAATGATTGCTAGATTAAAGGGTTCAGGTGTAGACATGGTCAATCATTGACCGTTCACAATGATTGCTAGATTAAAGGGTTCAGGTGTAGACATGGTCAATCATTGACCGTTCACAATGATTGCTAGATTAAAGGGTTCAGGTGTAGACATGGTCAATCATTGACCGTTCACAATGATTGCTAGATTAAAGGGTTCAGGTGTAGACATGACCATTTCAGAGCTGGCTGGTTTCCCAATATCATCCTTAATGTAGTAGGAACATAGAACTTTCTAGTAACCATTACTGGTAAAATAATGTAAAATAAAACATGATTTATGTTGAAACAGTTTTGTAAAGTCTACCTAACTTTATTGTGGAGATACAGTTTTTTTCTTTGTCTATTTACTGTGTTGGGAAGATACAGTTTTGTGTTTTACCTAACAGTGTTGGAGAAAAACAGCTTTGTGTTGTCTGCCTAACCGCTTTGGAGAGAGAGATACAGTTTAGTGTTTGTCTGCCTAACAGTGTTGGAGAGATACAGTTTGTGTTTGTCCGCCTAACTACATTGGAGAGATTGTGTGTGCTTGCTGTGTTTGTACTTATTATATATTATTATCCCTACACAGAAACACATGTAACAGACATTGGTGATATAACTTGGGTGATGTGTCTCAATGTTGCACTGTTTGTTACAGGATTGTAATTGTTGTCACTTGTTTGATCATTCTAGCAGACAAAAACACTCTGACAAATTTCATTTAAAAAAAACACCAATCCCAATGTGTATGCATTGCTATAGCCTTTCTTTATGATAGTTGAACAGTATTATGGCTATTTGTACATTTCTGTTGGCTTTATAACTGATCAAGCACAATCTCATTTTCATTTTATTTATATCTTTGTACTACTTCATCATGGAATCCTTAATTGGTATTGTGTGATCATTTAAACTTTTGACATTTGACTCTAGAGAGAAGGATGTGTCTAAGCAGTCAAGCTCTGTTGACCAGCCAAACATGCCTATCCCTGGGGACACAGGAACCAGCACCAAGTCGTCTACTCCTCAGGGTACCGGTAAGTGTATAGTAACCATGACAATATCAAGTCGTCCTGTTTTGAAACAAAAATTATATGACACTTATCATAATGATCAACTGCAGATCTAACTTTCCATACATTGAACATGAAATCTTTTTACATTGCAGAAGAGCGTTCTGGTGCTGTTGATGACCAATCGGCCTCCATAGTAACTAAGCTGGAGGACCATGAACAGGTGCCCAGTAGTCAGGATGAGCGGCCAATCGTGACACTCCTTGACAGGGAGGAGTCAGATGTACCGCTGTTAGACCTGGTCAACAAGTGTCTCACCAAAACACCAAGGCAGAAAGTAGGAAGCAAGAAAAAACTGAATTCAACAAAAAGAGCAAGTGTATTCTGTACTTATGTGCAGATTTTGTTGAGGAATTCACTGCCAGGGACATGCACATTGAAAAGAATCCCCCCTGGTGTCAGACCAGATTTAGGAGGACAGGACATTGACAGCCATTCATCAGAACGGAAGGTTTCAGCTGACAACAGCTTCATCATTGTCACTAAGGATGTGTTGTCTGAGGCCAGTAACACTACAGGGTCCAACAGTACACAGCCCATCCCGCCCAGTCAGTCAGCATCCTCACTGTCTGTCCACAACAATGAATCCATCGATACATCTGTTCAGCTGGACATTACAGTGGACACATCATCTCAGCTGTCCTCACCAACCCCTGACAAGAGTGTGGTTGAGGTTGTCATGCCAACTGTGTCTGTGCCTGTAGCTACAGAGGCAGCCATCAGCATAGAGCCATCCAAAGTGTTGCCACACGAGGAAGTATCCGTGACTGTCAATCCGGTCACAGTTGAGAAGACTCAGAGCTCACAAGTCACCAGCCAGAAGACCTTGACTCCAGGGGAGGTTACTCTTGATCCCAGCATTGTTAGTGCATCAGCACAGGTGGACACCTCTCAGACCACACCAGCTCTGGACTCTGTTACCCTGGTGAGGTCTCAAGTGGAGGAAAGCAAGCCCTTTGACACCACCATCAATCAGCCAGTTGGGTCTTTGGTAAGTGTGATAAGGTATTGGTCCACTGTCAGTTAGCACGTCAGTTTTCAGGTGAGGCTTCTCAAGTCTCAGAGCAAGCCATAGGAATCCATCACCAATATTAGGTGAGTTTGGACTTGTCTCACGTAGAAAGGAACACGCTCATGGATTCCACTGTCAGCCAGCCAGTGAGCGAAGGGTAAGTCTGATATTATCCCAGGTAGAGGGAGCAGGTCTGTGGGCTCAGCTGTTTGGTCAGCTAGTTGGGTTTTGGGTAAATGTGATTCCGTTGAGAAATGCAAGCTCTCAGGCTTTATCAGGTGAGGCTTCTCAAGTCTCAGAGCAAGCCATAGGAATCCATCACCAATATTAGGTGAGTTTGGACTTGTCTCACGTAGAAAGGAACACGCTCATGGATTCCACTGTCAGCCAGCCAGTGAGTGAAGGGTAAGTCTGATAGTATCCCAGGTAGAGGGAGCAGGTCTGTGGGCTCATGATCAGCTACTGGTCAGCTAGTTGGGTTTTGGGTAAATGTGATTCCGTTGAGAAATGCAAGCCCTCAGGCTTTATTGTCAGTCATACTGATATCAGGTAAGTGTGGACCTATGACAGGATTATTTTTTTTTGTCTTTATTAAATACACAAGTGATATTACGAAAACATACCTTATATTTATATATTCATTATAGAAATTAAATAGTGCTCATCATGCAAAGAACATAATACCTGGGTATGTACTTTATATTTGTCAACACATTTCCTCTGCCAGGTCAAGATTTTAGTTTAACATAGTTATATACATACATGTCACTTGATTATTTCATTTTACATGTGTTTAAATTTTAGGATTCAAGTGAAAATAATCAGAATCAAAATGCCGAGATGGAAATGTCCTCATCCACTACAGAGATAGTTTCTACTAAGGTCACCATGACAAAAGATCAACCCAACGCCAGCGACAACCTCGAGATATTTGACAATGATGCTGAGGTCATGTCCAGTATAGTGGACAAGCTAGCTTCAGCCATTCTGGACGATCCAGAGAATGGACACTCTCGGATCATTAATGACACAGTGCTGGCAGAAAATGCCACGCAGAAGAGTTCAGGAATGCCCCAGAAAGACCTTGGCCTTGTTAATGTAAAGGTTCCTGTCCTGTCTTACTCCAAACGTGAGATTGCACTAATGAGACTGGCTAACAGAATCAACGCCCTGGAGATGAACGTCACCCTTAGTATAAGGTAGGCTGAGTAGAAGTTGTGATGTCCATTCTACAGTAACAAAACCAGAAAATCCAGGGGTCAAACTTGACAACTGTCATTCTCACCATTGGTCGATATTACTAGGATTTGTAAATGCAAAGTATTAAAATGGAAAATGAATATCTTGTCAAGGGGAAGTAACTCTAAGCCAGATTTTTTTTTTCAAGTCTAATCTTATATATACAGAGGGGAATACTGGAAGTCAAATACAAAGGTGTATATCATTTTGAATGAATCAGTTTAATTGTTTTCCTGTATTTGGATGCTTTGTATAAGAGATTGTGTTGACTGTGTTTTGTTGATATCAGATTTTTGGAGAGGATGAGTCAAAAGTTTAAAACCAAGTCAGATGAGATGATTAAAACACTCAACAAGACTGACACTAAGCTGGAGGAGACCGCGCTGGAGGCCAAAGTCAAGGTAGGTGATGGATTAACATGGGGGTGGGGAAGGAGGAAGGGAGGGATGGGAGAAAGGGTTGGGGAGATGATGCAGGAGGGAGGGGGAGAAATGGTGAGGGAGGAGGAGGGTAAGAGGAAAGGGGTTAACCCTGTAGTGGGGTGGGGAGAGGGTGTGATTTACTTCATCATAGACTGAATTTTGAGACCTTAATACGTTGACTCGGGTAAAAATTAAAGAGAATGTGCAATAATTTAACGAAATGTTAACTTAAAGGTACGCTGTTTTTGCAAGCTTTCATTTTCACTTCATAAAGAAATCTTTGGCTATACAAATCAGGAGTTTTGTTTGAATGTTTCTCTGTATAGGGAAAGGAACAAGATGAACATATGAAGAACATGGAGATAAGACTGAGGAATCTAACTGTAATGATGGAGGAGATGGTACACAGCATGGACACCCTCAACCAGAAGGTCAGACCTTAGTAGCACAAAGAAATCTAGTTATGTAGGATGGACATTCCTCATTCAGACACATTCAGTTTCAAAAGGACCTGATATTTCTGTTTGATGCAGTAAAAATATTACTGAGGAAGATAGAGATATTCACTAACAGGTATTCTCATCTCAGGAAATCTAATTTCGGTACACTATCCTATGATCTCATCTCAGGAAATTTAACAGTGTAGTAGTTTTAATTGTTTCAACCTCTGCTGGATAAAAAAAAATGTTTCTTTCAATATCTATGAAGGAAAGGATAATAGTGATATTGGGACAGTATTTGTACAGCGTGAGGTATTTTCTGTATTACAGGTGACAGACAGACAGATGGTATGGACCTCAGTGGAGGTCTTCATTCTGATCGTGATTTTTATGGTGTGTCTCAAGCGCGGAAAATCAACACCATATATACCAGTGTCACCCGAAGTTCAAAAACTTCTTCAAATTTTTCCAAGTGAAATGGATCTAACAGCATTACCCAGAAGAAATTCATTCCACGGCACAATTCAACACAATTCTGCTGAGCTGGCAATGGGTTCTCTTCAAAGGTACAACAGTGAAACAGCATTAGGTGAGTACCTACTGACATGTCAATATCTGGATACAGCAGCAATATAACTGTGGAGAAATGTGCTTAATTCCATTTATATATATCCTGGAATAGATACAGGTAATTGACCTTGCATACCAGACTTAATGCTTATGTGTCTTTACAGGTCTTCGATATTGGTTGCTTTATCATTTCAGCATGTAAGTGGCAAGATATTTCCAGCTTTGATCCAGGAGGCACCACCAAAGATTCCTCGGGTATCAGCCAGGTAGATGATCTTATCAGTCACTCTTTGAGTGTGCATCCTTCCATAGGATCTTTTGTGTCATCAGATACAAATATTTACAAATTACATAATTCACACATTTATTCAATTTTCTTTTCAAGTCAAACATGTTTAACTTTAAACTGTCAATTTTCATTTCAGCAAAAAGATATGCCAAAGAGGAAGAAGAGAAAGAAGAAGGGTCCTGAAGTAAAGATTTGTGATGTCCCCAGTTCTTCAGATTTTAAAGATGATTTGGCTCTGACTGAGTCACATACAAATTTCAACAGTGCAGGGCTTTTGTTTGGTGCCAGCCCAGAGGAGACAACTGTTTGTGAAAAGTTAAATAGGACAAGCAGCCAAAGCTGTAAGTGGAATTTTAATTCTGACAACAAACTTGTTTGCCAGCCTGAGGTAGATTCAGCCTATTGTAAAAGTACTTACTCAGATACATCTGTTAACAGTAAAGGTCAGGGGTCAAAGGTTAGAGTGACCTGCTCCTCCAATGATATACAAGGTAGTGTTCCTGGAGGTAATAGGTTTAAGGTGAAGGCTCATTCTTTTACAAATGAGCTACCTGTTTCTGTGATATCTTCCAAACCCCCTAAATGTCCTGGGGTCCCTCAAGGAGGAGTAAAGTCCAGGCGAGGGAGCCCGCCAATGACACGTGCCCTTGCTGACCCAGGGGGAGGGGGAGGTGGAGCTGCAAAAAAGAAACGACAAAATTTTGGCCACAGCATTCCATCGGACAATAGTAGCCAGACACCAGCCGAGATAGAAACAATACGGCCTAATGTCAATGGTAACCATGTCTCTACCAGTCTGTGTGTGTCTCAACAACACCGACCAAAGAAGAAGTCCCATATGCGGGCATCCAGTGCTGACCTGTCGTCCTCCTCGAGGGTAGACACCAGCGCCACCTCTTGGAAAAAACTCATTGGATGGAAATAAGACAACATAACTATGACAATGAATGTGTGATAACTGTTAATGATGAAAGAGAAATGTGTAGCTATGTGTAATAGCATTACCTGGTAAAAACAGGGAAAACTCTACTGAATTCCTTATAGATGTATGTAACTGGGAAACAGTGATTTGTGACTGTTTGTTGTTGTTTGGTATCCAGGTTTAAGCAGTGTATTAGGCATATAGACAGATACAAGTGTTAGGTGAACAAGTAACACAAATAATCTCCTTGCCTTTCCACCAGATTGAGAATTGTTGAATAATTAAACAATTTGTGCAATAGATTTTTAAGCTTAACCAATATCTTTATTAATGTTAGCCTGTTGGTACAACTTATCTGAAGAAAGTAAACTGATCAATACTGTCCACTGATTGGTTGAAATTTGCGATATTTACCCTACGCTTCCTATAGTGAAGTGCAAGCTAACTCTGAATTTCAGAATGATGTTTTGTGTGTATGAAATCAATTCTTTAAAAGAGTCCTTAACAAGTAACTTCTAAAAGCATACAGGTTTGGTATACATGTCACTTATAAAATTTAAATTGTGTAAAAAATTATCTACTTTAAATGATGTAGATATTGAAGAGCTCATAGTTCAGGAGAGCTTATCATTCACAGGAGCTAAATATTCATTGGTGTTATTAGCTACAAGAATCAATGCTTTCAAGCTCTAATGTTGCACAGATTGTGTTCAGATGGAAAATATCGCAAAAATACAAGCCAGCGTGATCCCATACAGCACTGTATAATAAATACTGTGTGTGGATAACGACCTTTTAAAAGTGATATAGTTTAGTTCCTGGACCGACCATTGTCCATACAGCAACACCATTGTCTCGTCATTGTGACCTGATAACAGTTAAAATTGATGATGTTTTGTCTCAATATAAGATTGGTTACTGTATACCTGTTATTATTCTTTGATTATTTATATATGTATGTGAGACAGGTGACTAATCCACAGAGCTTTACTTTGTAACCACCCCACCCCCTTTACACGAACCCTACTAATCCACTAATCCACAGAGATTAACTTTGTAACCCCTTCCCCTTTACACAAACCCTACTAATCCACAGAGCTTTACTTTATAAACCTTCACCCTTTACAAGAACCTTACTAATCCACAGAGATTTACTTTATAACCCCTCACCCTTTACACGAACCTTACTTACACCCAACTACCTGTAATGTTCCATTACACATACTTAAAATCTCCACCCACAACCTCCCCCCCCCTTCCCTTTCCCCTTCCCTTTCCCCTTCCCCTTCCCCACTCCCCCTTACCAATCCAAATGTGTGTCATTATATTGTATAACTCCATTATTTTGGAATTATTATCAGTACAATTTAATTTTGATTTAAAAAAAAAATATTATTGATAGCTCAGTATACTGTCAAAGATGATTGATCAAAGATCCAGATATGCAAGCTTCCTTTGTTTCATAATCTTCAAACATGGCCAGTTAAGATTTCAACAGATTTGTCAACATTTTCCCTGTAACATTGTACTTACAACAGACCTGCTAATGTTATACCTGTAATATAGTTTACTTATATGTGCTGTATACATAGCTCCTGTGCTTAAACTTTGACATGGACTCTTCGGCAAATCCTACTTACCCACTCAATGGGTATTTACATATTTGATGCATTTGTTATATATTTGTGAAGATTTCGGGGTGGAGGAAGTTTCTTGCTGTGTTATGTAATTTAGGATTTAAAGTCGTGCAATAGTTTTGAAAATCAAACAGTGAACCACATGAACATGTAGTAGTGTCAGTCTCCCTGATTTTGATGTGTATTCCAAACTCTCTGGCTTCCTTTCATCAAAGTGAGTATTTATGAAAAAAAAGGTCAACATTGGGGAAAAATGTCAGAAATTTGCTTCCAGAATTATACCCACTGTACAAACAAAGGGATGATTAATCTTAATGAAAAACACGGGTTGTCATATAGGACGACACAACCCCGTGTGTGGCTAGTGAGACGAGGCCGAAACAACCCCGTGGGTGGCTAGGGGGACGAGGACGACACACCCCCGTGTTTGGCGAGTGAGACGAGGACGACCCAACCCCGTGTGTGCCTAGTTAGACGAGGACGACACAACACCATGTGTGGCTAGTGAGACGGGGACGACACAACCCCGGGTGTGGCTAGGGAGACGAGGACGACACACCCCCGTGTGTGGCTAGTTAGACGAGGATGACACAACCCAGTGTGTGGGTAGTGGGACGAGGACGACCCAACCCCGTGTGTGGCTAATGAGACGAGGACGACACAGCCCCGTGTGTCGCTAGTAGGACGAGGACGACACAAACCCGTGGGTGGCTAGTGGGACGGGGACGACACAACCCCGGGTGTGGCTAGTGAGACGTGGACGACACAACCCCGTGTTTGGCTAGTGAGACGAGAACGACACAACCCAGTGTCTCGCTAGTGAGACGATGACGACACAACCCCGTGCGTGGCTAGTGAGACGAGGAGGACACAACCCCGTGTGTGGTTAGTGAGACGAGGAGGACACAACCCCGTGTGTGGTTAGTGAGACGAGGACGACGCAACCCCGTGTGTGGCTAGCGGGACGAGGACGACAAAACCCCGTGTGTGGCTAATGAGACGAGGACGACACCACCCAGTGTGTGGCTAGGGGGACGAGGACGACACACCCCCGTGTGTGGCTAGTCGGACGAGGACGACACAACGCCGTGTGTGGCTAGTGAGACAAGGGCGACACAACCCCGTGGGTTGCTAGTGGGACGAGGACGCCACAACCCCGTGTGTGGTTAGTGAGACGAGGAGGACACAACCCAGTGTGTGGGTAGTGGGACGAGGACGACCCAACCCCGTGTGTGGGTAGTGAGACGAGGACGACGCAACCCCGTGTGTGGCTAGGGGGACGAGGACGACCCAACCCAGTGTGTGGCTAGTCGGACGAGGACGACACAAACCCGTGTGTGGCTAGTGTGACGAGGACGAAACAATCCCGTGTGTGGCTAGTGTGACGAGGACGACACAACCCGGTGTGTGGCTAGTGGGACTAGGACGACACAACCCCGCGTGTGGCTAGTGAGACGACGACGACACAACCCAGTGGGTGGCTAGTGAGACGAGGACGGCACAACCCAGTGTGTGGGTAGTGGGACGAGGACGACCCAACCCAGTGTGTGGCTAGGGGGACGAGGACGACCCAACCCCGTGTGTGGCTAGTCGGACGAGGACGACACAAACCCGTGGGTTGCTAGTGGGACGAGGACAACACAACCCAGTGTGTGGGTAGTGGGACGAGGACGACACACCCCCGTGTGTGGCTAGGGAACCGCGGTAGACCCAACCCCGTGTGTGGCTAATGAGACGAGGACGACACAAACCACGGCGTGGCTAGGGGGACGGGGACGACACAACCCAGTGTGGGGCTAGTGGGAAGAGGACAACACAACCCAGTGTGTGGCTAGTGGGACGAGGACGACACAACCCCATGTGTGGCTAGTGAGACGAGACCAAAGTGTAGGATCAGAATTTTGTTAGAAATGTTGTATTTCTTATTGCTAGCATGACATCATGTTGTAAATGTGTGCTTTTTTTTTTTACAAATACAATGAATCTCATAAACTACCCTCTATGAGATTTGTTTTATAATAACCTGGTATACCCAAGTCTTAGTTTTAGAGATTTAGTCCTACAATAACCCAGTATACCCTGGTTCTATGTGAGATTTAGTCCTACAAAAACCCAGTATACCCTGGTCCTATGTGAGATTTAGTCCTACAAAAACCAAGTATACCCTGGTCCTATGTGAGATTTAGTCCTACGATAACCCGGTATACCCTGGTCCTATGTGAGGTGAGATTTAGTCCTACGATAACCGGTATACCCTGGTCCTGTGTGAGGTTTAGTTATACAATAACCCAGTATACCCTAGTTCTATGTGAGATTTAGTCCTACAAAAACCCAGTATACCCTGGTCCTATGTGAGATTTAGTCCTACAATAACCCAGTATACCCTGGTCCTGTGTGAGATTTAGTTATACAATAACCCGGTATACCTTTTTCCTGTGTGAGATTTAGTCTACAATTACCTTATATACCCTGATCCTGTGTGGTATTTAGTCTTACAATAACCTGGTATACCCTGATCCTGTGTGAGATTGAGTCCTACAATAACTAATGAATCTGTCCTGACAAAGTCCAAGGTTATTACCCGGTGTAGGTGACACCCTACACTCGATACAAGGAGACTAGTCTGGTGGCTCTAAGGAAGATCAAAGGAATCATGCAGCAGCATATCGGTAAAGTCAACAGACTTCAAAGTTGGCTGTTATCTTCAAAGAACCAGTATCTGCTTAGCAGCTGGCCAGGATTTTATTCCTAAATAGTTTATAGTCAAATAGTTTACCACCTGCCTTTTTTATGTCCTGACAGATTCCAAGGGTACAGAGAAGATAGATGTGATGGAAGGGGAATCCTTATATTTCAAACATCATTGTACACAAATCTGCCATCTTTTGGTAATGAATGAAATCACCAAAGTCCAATTAAGGTTTTAATTTAAAGATGCATTGTATTTCTTGCAAATCTTTTATATTTTTGTTGTCTTATACTCTCTTGTCCATTAGAATAGGTCGCTGTGTATACCCTATACTTAGTGGAACCAGTTGTAATTATGTTGTAACCGGTGGGAAATACCTTCGTGGCTTGAAGCCATTTTGATCTTTTCGTGGTACAAACTTTCGTGGATATCCTATATTTACAAACAGTAGACACGTATATCATTCAAATTTGTTGTATTTATTTTCGTGGTTCAATTGCAACAATGAAAACCACGAATGTTTATACACAACGAACATTTCCCGTTATACAGTATCTAGTGCTAACACATCTTCGCTATCTCTCGCTCTCTCTATATAAACCAGGTTATATATGATATGGTGCATGTACAAGTTAAAGACTGACTGTCCATCCAGAGGCATTATCTAATTCTTTTTATGTACTTGAATTGAAAACTACAAGATTTCTGTGTGATAATTAAGTCCCCATGTGAGTGAGCTCTCTAGAAGTACTTTCAGAAGCCTGTATGATGTCATCTCTAGTATTTCATAGACATGTAAATTATCAAAAGGGACCTCTCAAACTAGATCATAACAGAGGCATGAGATGTAGATTGTGACAAATTGTGGAGATGTGGAACAGCCGATAGAAAGAGACGTGTGACAGATTGACAGAGACTTGTGACAGATTGACAGAGACTTGCGACAGATTGAGAGACGTGTGACAGATTGACAAAGACTTTTGTAGATTGGCAGACTTGTGACAGATTGGCAGAATTGTGACAGATTTACAGAGACTTGTGACAGATTGACAGAGACTTGTGACAGATTGAGAGAGACGTGTGACATATTAAGAGACTTGTGACAGATTGACAGAGACGTGTGACAGATTGACAGAGACGTGTGACATATTGACAGAGACTTGTGACAGATTGACAAAGAATTTTGTAGATTGGCAGACTTGTGACAGATTGACAGAGACATGTGACAGATTGACAGAGACTTGTGACAGATTGAGAGACGTGTGACAGATTGACAAAGACTTTTGTAGATTGAGAGACTTGTGACAGATTGACAGAGACATGGGACATATTGAGAGACTTGTGACAGATTGACAGAGACTTGTGACAGATTGACAGAGACCTGTGACAGATTGACAGAGACGTGTAAGATATTGAGAGACGTGTGACAGATTGACAGAGACTTGTGACAGATTGAGAGAGACATGTGACATATTGAGAGACTTGTGACAGATTGACAGAGACATGTGACAGATTGATAGAGACGTGTGACAGATTGACAGAGACTTGTGACAGATTGAGAGAGATGTGTGACATATTGAGAGACTCGTGCCAGATTGAGAGAGACGTGTGACAGATTGACAGAGACGTGTGATAGATTGAGAGAGACTTGTGACAGATTGAGAGAGATGTGTGACATATTGAGAGACTTGTGACAGATTGAGAGAGACGTGTGACAGATTGACAGAGACGTGTGATAGATTGAGAGAGACTTGTGACAGATTGAGAGAGATGTGTGACAGATTGACAGAGACTTGTGACAGATTAAGAGACTTTTAACAGATTGACAGAGACTTGTGACAGATTGAGAGAGATGTGTGACATATTGAGAGACTTGTGACAGATTGAGAGAGACGTGTGACAGATTGACAGAGACGTGTGACAGATTGAGAGAGATGTGTGACATATTGAGAGACTCGTGCCAGATTGAGAGAGACGTGTGACAGATTGACAGAGACTTGTGACAGATTGACAGAGACTTGTGACATATTGAGAGACTTGTGACAGATTGACAGAGACTTGTGACATATTGAGAGACTTGTGACAGATTGAGAGACTTGTGACAGATTGACAGAGACTTGTGACATATTGAGAGACTTGTGACAGATTGACAGAGACGTGTGACAGATTGAGAGAGATGTGTGACAGATTGAGAGAGACTTGTGACAGATTGAGAGAGACGTGTGACAGATTGAGAGAGATGTGTGACAGATTGAGAGACTTGTGACAGATTGAGAGACTTGTGACAGAAACGTGTGATAGATTGACAGAGACTTGTGACAGATTTACAGAGACTTGTGACAGATTGAGAGAGACATGTGACATATTGAGAGACTCTGACAGATTGAGAGACTTGAGCTGTGTTTGTTAAGTGTCTGATTAAGAGTATGTTGATATGCACAACTGAGAATGAGAGAAGGTTAAATGTCGATTGTGACATTGAGAGCGGAATGAGATGTAGATTGTGACAGATATGTAGATTGGGACAGATATGTAGATTGTGACAGATTTAGAGATTGTTGAGACAAATGTCTTGACAATGGATGTACTTATATTTACATATTTGAGAGAGACTTGTGACAGATTAAGAGACTTTTAATAGATTGACAGAGACTTGTGTCAGATTGAGAGAGACTTGTGACATATTGAGCGAGACTTGTGACAGATTAAGAGC